TCAGATTTGATCAGCTTTCGTCAGGGTCAAGGGATTTGATCACTTTCGACAGGGTCAAGGGCAGGGGTTGATAGCAAATGGTGATATACCTGATACCATGGATACCGTATCCGCATGATACTCGTATCAGTATCACGTGATACCGCTCGATCATTGGGATCAAGATCACTGATCCTTCTCCACAAATATATTGATCTTTGACGATACTATACTCACGTATCCAGTCAGTTTCTGGTTTTGTATTTAGATCTGCAACCCCCGACAGCTTACAACAAAGACGCCGCAAACGATGGCAGAAAACCCCACAGGAACGACGCAGACTGCCTCAGCAACGGCACAGACGGATGAAGAGGGTGTGGACGAGCATGGTATACCTCGGGTAGTCAAGCATTGTTGCCAGAACATGTTCAATCCGGTATGGAGATTCATCCACAAGCTATCCTAGCCCATACCAGGATCAAAAGAGCCCACAAGACCGTACACGCACATTTGTATAGTCTGCTGTGATGAACACAAAAGCTCCGACCAACCGCATCAACGTGGAGGAACTTTCTAATGCGACCAACTACATCTTCCAACGCTAGAAAACACATGTGGGGGACTCACAAGGAGCACTCATTCACATTGGAGACTAAGCGGAGAAAGACCAGTGATGTGGCTAAACGTATTCAGACATATGATAGTGGAGCTTCGGGTGAACAGGGAAAACATCCAAACCAAAAGAAGCAGCGCACAATTCACGAGGCAATTGCCATCAATGCTGACCAAATGAAGATTTTGTCGACTAGATGGCTACTTTCTTCTGGGTTGCCTCACACGGTACTCCAAAACCCTGAGCTTTTGGAACTTTTTCGGCGTTTGGCGCACCAACCTGCGCTATTGACCCCTGCTCGAGATACTTTTTACGAATTTGCTAAAGCAGAATGGCACTTGCTTATCAAATTGGTGTCTGATACACTGAGCCGAGATTTTTCAAAAGCAAAAGAGCAGCCATTTATCACGATGTTGCACGATCTGTGGACCAATGCATCGAACATGAATATAATTGGTGTGACTGTCGTATTCGTGGATTCAGAGTGGCGCTTGGTCACACTTTCGCTCTTGGCGATGCCAAACTCGCACGGCCACGCTGCTGGTACTGTTGCTGATCTTATTAAAGCACGAATGCAAGACCGCTACAACATTGATGTGGACCGGTACGTTCGATTCACAGTAAGTGATACGACGGGAAGCGCTCGAAACGTATTCGACCATTTCAATATTACGGATCAAGTAGATTGTTTAATGCACTTATTAAGTTTGTGTCTGTTGTATGCTCTCGGTCTGAAAGAAAACACACGAAATCGTGGTCAGAGTATCATAACACCGGGAGGGGAGTTCCGAAATGGTCTGAAAGTTATTCAGAAGCTTCGTGATTTGGCAACGTTTTTCAACACTCCTCAAAGAATCACTAAACTCAAGCAGATAAAGAAGGCCCTTAGCCTTCCAGCTGTCAATATTGAAGTTGATTCGAAGACACGAGTTGGATACGCTGTAACGCTAATGCGTCGCAGTGTACTAAATCACTATGCCTTTGCTCAGTACTTCGAAGGAGCGCTAGACAGTGAGACGGCTGTATGGTCAAGCATTTCCAAGGATGATTGGACGCTTATTACCGAGATGGAAGGGCTGACTAACCAAATCGCACAGTTTAGTCTGGGCGAAGTGCAAAAGCAGGGCGTGGCAAGCTTACGTCTTACTTTTTCGCAAAATGTTGGTTTTTGCTGGTGAATCCACTACAGTTAATTGTTTGGTTCTCGATCGCCCTGGGCCAAAAGCAACTGAGCATTCGCAACGCCGAGCACCAAAGTCTATATCCGAGTTTTCTTGGGATGGCAAACGTTGTCGCGACCGACTTCGTGAGCAACTCGCTCTTCGGTTTCCAGTTGAGGATCTCAACGACATAAAAGCTTTACTTCTGGATCCCGCGGATTAAAGGAAAAGCACATAGTATTGTCAGTGATTCATCAGTTCTTGCACAAGCCGAGACCGAACTTCAATTTGAGCATGCTCTCATTTATCAGAAATTGTTTGCAAGGCAAGCAGCAGACGAGGAGTGTAAGGGTGAGGAGCCTTTGCCGTCGGGGGTTTCTCAAAGCAGCTCTGATCTCATTGACACTGCACTGGGTGCCTTACTAGAGATCGACGCCCCGGCTCAAAACGTGGAAATGTCTGATTTCCAGGCTGACCTATCCGCCCAAGCGATGAACGCGTGGAACGAATGGAAGAACTTGAATGTCTCGTGGCCGTGTTCAACATCCTCCGGTTACGATTACCGGGGCCGTAGATCAGTTGAAGGTTGACAGCCAGGGTAGAATTAGAAATGCGGACGGAACGGTGGGGCGCCAGCTGTTGATCAGCATAGCCAATCAGCCGAATCAGCTGGTACGGGACGGTAACGGCGTGTTTGAAGCTGCAGACCCTACGGCGGCAGGCATAAATCCGATGGCTGCTGGACAACGTATCGAAGTGCGCCAGGGCTCGCTCGAGAATTCCAACGTGGATTCCGCCCAGGCCATGGTTAATTTAATGGCGGCACAGCGTG